TGGTTATGAAGCAGATACAGGCGCCGTGTCCGAAAAGTGCTGCCCAAGGTAGTACCTATTTTACTCCATGGGGGGCTGCAATTTTAGCGCAAAACCTTGGCTGCTCTAGCCTCTAGTAGCCTCTGGGGCGTCAACATTAGCAGCAGACGCACGGTCACAACTTTGACCGTTTTGAACCTTCCCAAGTTCGCCAACGACAATTGATACAGGAGCTCTCACCTTGAGTCTTCTCTCTTCTTTCTTCTGAACAACCTAGATCATAAATACAACGATTCTATTTTCATTCTCGTTCCAGCACTGACAGGATATAGAGGCCGCCTCCTGGAAATGAGGCATCGTTAAAAATATACAGGACGCCGGGGCGGTCGTCTTGAGAAAACCATCCCTTCAACCCATCTGTGAACTCCATCGACACTCTCTATTCCTTTCCAACAAAAAAGGAGTCGCCGCCATGGTGTCATCTGATAAGGCCGCTGACGCACACACCGAGTTGTCGCAATATATCGCCCGGATACTGCTAGAGCGCTCAAATTGGTCGCTAGAATCTCTTGATCATCCAGTCTTGCGTATCGAGGCTCATTGTGAGTGCGGCCCAAGTTCTTATTGCAGCCAACTCTGCTTCTGGGCCTTTCCTTGGTATGAAGAGTATGCGTGATGCAAGAGTCTGAATAGACATGATTCTGGCCCTGGAATATGAACCATTCAAGTAAACGCTAACCTTGCATGCCCGTAGTGGAGGAGGAGAGCTCCCAAGGTGAGCGAACCGGGCAGTCTAGGCCCGTCTTTAGTCATGTTGTCGATCTCTCGGCCACAAAGACTTCAGAGCCGAGGACGCGGCAGATAAAAGCGGCGCCGGTGCCTCCCCGCGCCGCGCCGGACAGGGCCGCCGCATGCCCCATTGAGCCAGAGGATCGCCCAGAGGAACCACGAAATACCATTCCAGGTAAATCCGTGACTGAGGGTGCTGATGATGCCGAGGAAGAAAACTGTTCTGAAGCTGCTTCAGAGAGCCACCACAAGGGGACCGGCGGACTGAGACTAGCCCGCTCCGACTCCAACCTCGTCGAGGACACGGACAGCCAGAGGCAGATACACAGCGGCGACAAGTTCCCGAAGCGACGAAAAGTGAAGCCCGAGGGCCACTTTCTGCAGCCTTCGACACTGGACAAGCTCATTGGCGGTATTTGGGAGCAGATCCACGGAACTGTGAGCCTTGACCCCCAGAATCTCGTGCAGCAGTTGCAGCTTCGGGGCGGTGACGACAACAATACCGGCGGAACAACAATCGAAAGCCCTATTGGCGGTTTTCTCATGGCTCCGCCTGTGGGCACAACGCAGTTGATCGCGGACGAAGCAGCCAAGCCGCGTGATGACACCAGGACCGCGATACCAGAGATGAGCGATGCCTTTAGCCGGAGCAACGTATTCTGTCGGCAGGTCACACAGGCTAGTCGAGCTTGTCGGTCCCTTGAAGTCATTGTGCAAGCCCGCTGGGTCGAATATTTTGATGCCTACGTGGACGGCTGGGCTCGCGCAAATGCAGGAGTACCAAGGAGTCGCTACAACAGTAAGTTCTGCTTCGAAACCTTTATTACGTCTAATACTTTGTAATACGTCAAGACTCTTGCTGAATCCCATGTCACCATCATGTAGAGGCAGCTTTGATGGGCGCATGCGCCGACTTTGGCTGGTCAGAGAAGGAGCTGCGTAATAAGATGTACGTCTGGCGAGGCTACAAGGAAATCAAGGACGCCGGCGGCTGGGTAGCTCTCGTCTTTGCTGGGATGGGCATCTACCGCTTCTGCAAGTATCGGATTGGGTTTGACAAGGAGAGTATGCAGAGGTTGAGGAACTTACGGCCAGCCATGGAGGTCGCGGCTGATACCTTGCATCCACAATGGAGACAGCTACTCACGGTCCTTGGCGAGTCCTCTGAGAAGCTATATCATGGACACCAGCACGATTGGGTCGTGCAACTAGACGGGACCAATCCTATTCCCCTTCGGAACACATATCTCCAGTGGGATCCGCAGTTTAGCTACCGGCAGCTCGATGAGTCGATCGTAGACGAGGCAACATGGGGCTGCGACGATCCGCGGTGGTCCATGCCAGCGAGTGATGTTGTTAGGGCGTCGGCTCTCCCCCTCTGCGAGACTTGCGAAAAGGAGCAATCGGATGATCCAAAGCTCAACAACTGTTACTGCTTCCCGACACTCTTTGGCTGCGCAGTCACTTCGCCGAGCCCCGTGCTCGTGTTCCGGACTCCCGACGGCAAGAACAATGGGCTGTTGGCACTATGTGCGTTCGAGAGAGGGGCGCCCATCGGTGAGTTTGTCGGCCTCGTCACCAAGGGCTTCCGCGAGGTCGACGTCATGGAGAGCACGACATCCTCGTCCGGGTCGCCGGGCAGCAGCGTCAGCTATCAGATATGGCAAGGACGGCAAGGCAACTTTACACGCTTTGTCAACCATAGCTGCAAGGCCAATTCTCAGTACCAGCGCTTCACGTGGCTACACACGCAGCGCATCATTCTTGTCAGCAAGGGCATCGATGCTGGTACCGAGATCACCGTCGATTATTCGGACAAGTATTGGAAAGGCTTGAACAAGGCGTGCCTGTGCGGGGAGAGCTGCTGCCGGTACAGAAAAGCGGATAGTGACAAGCGTTGAAATTAGACATACACAGAATCTCATGAAAACAACCTTTCATGGCTCGCGAACAGCGCAGAACTGATTTGAGGCTTTGGATCAATAGCCTTTGTTGGCTCTGACTTTTCCCTGTTTCAAATCGACCGCACGTCGTGGATCGTGATATCTACATTGTCCAGTCTCTTCCACCATTTTCATTGTGGTTTGGTGTAATGTGTTACTGATTGGACAGCATACCTTTCAGAAGGTGAGAATACAATATATACAATTACCTGGATATGACACCAGAGTTTCTCCTTCAAGACGGTATCGTATATAGGTGGCCTCTCCTCGAGACGAACCATAAGCATCTACATTAGTCAATAGCGCTATCAACACATACAAAACCTCTGACAACTAAAAGTCGTTCTGGCTCGCTCCCACTATTCAGCTACATCCGCTTGTCAAGGTAGACGGTACAACATATCTACTTTGTGGGTATAAATTAAGCTTTTCCTTTTCTGCGGAAGGCTTCAAGATAGCCCCTGAGGTGTGACGGCAGCTCAGGTGGCGTTCATAAGGGCGGAGCCGTCCCAAATACCATCAGGTCCTTGTTAACCTCCTCCTACGGAATAATTCCAAGACATCAAAGATCAATAACGCCTGGAAAGAAATATATAAGAGAGAAAATTGGGAAAGAAAAGATTATAAGAGAAAGAAGGATAAGGCGGAAATAGAGTCCTGTCCGTATGGCAATGGTACCGGGGCATTAAGTAGGTCTCGCCAAGAACATCTTTGCTCCAAACGAAGACAGTTAATTGACATTTTGGCAGGAGCAAGAGATGTAATCAAACTCGGAAGAGATGGGGAGGAGACAAGCAAAGGCATCCGAATGTTGATAATTTCTTGTATTTTTCTTTTCTTTCAAGATTCCTTGCCGCCGCTTGCAACGCTTTCCGACAAGGGAAAAAAGATCTTTCACTACAAGACTGCGGAGCAGGATCTTGAAAAGCACAACGTATTTGCAGAATATTTCTCTAATCTCCAGGATAAATGAGAGCCACAGACTGTCTCAGTCACTCCCTTGATACTCGCCAGAAATGTAGTGATTTTGGTCGCTCTGTGGGCGCCTGATGATGAGGTTGCAATGTGCAAAGAGGGAATACCCGAGCTCAGTCACAAGTCATCTCTTTAAGCTATGGAAGTTATAGAAGCCATACAGACCACTCAAGGACGACAAAGACTGTCCAGTTGGGGACAAGACCAAAGTCTCAACAGACGTACGAAAAAAAAGACAAAGCCACAGTTGAGTTGCCATATGCAGAGCTGATAGATTTGTAATACAGCATGCCTAACACTGTTTTAGGTATCTATCGCTTCAGAAAGCTGACATTGATACTTCCAAGATACTTCTCTATTGGAACCCAGTTCTAAAGCTCGAGTCGTATTAGAGTGCGAAGGATATATTTTCTTTCCAAAAAAAGCCACAAGAGCTAATCCACCCAGCAACCCAGCTCGGACAGCGACCCAGTAAAACATCCGAAAGAGCATGGAGGGTTTCATTGCAGAATAATAATAATAATAAATGTACAGAGTCTGACGTGAGTTTGGAATTCCTTGGAAACGGAATCCCCATTGAGAAAAAGGATGTTCCCGGGGATCCCGGTCGCCGCGTGGTTTTATTGTCGCTTATCTGCTTGATTACCTTTTTTTTTTTTTTTTTTTTTCAAAAGCAGGTGGGAGTTACTGGGAGGAAAGGAACAAATAAAAAACGCCACACAGGTGTTGAAGGATCATGAACCCTTTCTTCTTCCCTTGCAAGGGTGGCATGGAGTCAGGAGTTTCTAGATGCCACTCGGTTAAGCAGCAATGGCGGCATTGGTTGCCGTCATCCAACGGTCTTTTGCTTAAGCTGTGTGGCTCGGCACCGTTCACATGCATGTATAGGTCAGCCCATTGCGTATTTGCTAAGAATTAAGCGGTGGCGTATGTAAAGGCATGCTTTTGAGACTTGGCGTGCACACAGTATAGGTAATCAGGAATTTGTATAAACCGTTACACAATTTTTTATACGGGCCGCCGCTTACTCGAAAACAAAGCATGCGTGGTCGCTAGACTACCGTGCTATGGAAACGCCAGAAACTCCTTGAACCTAGACAGCCGTGGCTCCGTGACTTTTTCTAATTAAGCAATAAGGCCCAATGTGCTCCTCCATGGACAGCTGCCAAATCTCCATTAATCATGCCTCGTATCTGCAAATAAACCAGCCACTATACCACGGAGCAGTAGGGTTGAAAGATATAAAATCAAAAGCAAGTGCTAGACCAATGCCAAACGCCATACCATGCTTAGTAGGGATTGAAAGGTATATGCCTGCCGACATGAGTGGTCGACATGAAGAAGAATGAAGGACCAAGGCAAGAACTAGTGGGATATCCAGTGGAAGAATGAAATTGACCATTGCCGGATCAAACAACAAGAACGAAGGACGCTGAATACTTTTGGAACGCTCCAAGCAGAATGTTATACACTCGTCAAAGATGTTGCAAATCAAATCTCAAGGGTTTTTGAATATGCAAGGCGAGATGGAAATTTTTTAGATCCTTTACAAGCTAAGCGAGATATCCACTTCATGTGTCAATCTTTACTCTCTTGATTTCGTCTGGGCCGTCCGAGGCCGGGCCAGCAGTGTTGATCTCGGGGCTCTTTCGTTTGTTGGAGTTCTCGTCGCGCAAAAACGAAGGCCCGGTACCGTGGACAGGAGTAGCAAAGTTGAGTGGACTTGGCAGGGTATTGCTGTCGTTTCTGGAAAAGTTCCATTCGGGGTAGAAGCTGCTGGGACTTGGCAGGAACTCCGTGTTGAGGAAACGAGATGGCAACGCAGACACAGGCGTGTCAATGTTCATATTACCTCCCTGCTGCGACTGAGAAATGGGCCGAGCAAACGGGTTGGGCGGCCCGGTTGCGCCGGCAGATAGGAGCGCAGAGGCAGATGGCGACGGCGGCGGCAGCACGACACCGCCAGTCGGCTGAGAATCACTGCCGTTCCGCCTGGTGGGCTGAACTGCCGATTCCGAGATATTCCGTGGCGATGTTGTTGTGAGAGTTTCAGCCGTGTTGCTACCGGCTTCCGACTGTTCATCAGGAATCTGAACTCTCAGTCTTGGTCGAGGTGCGCCATCTCGCAGGCTGTTGGACCTCGAGGGCGGCGTAAAAGAAGTTTCTGGGATGGTGGGAACCGAGTTTCTACCAAGGCTGGGAATATTGTGCCTCTGCGAAAGTGGCGGAGATGAATCCGCGTTTGTTCGCGAGACAGAGCCAACATCTACAGACTGTGCGCGGCTCCCATTCGGACCCGATTCTTCCTTCAGACCAGAAGCAAAGGATGCCAAATGCTGAGATAGAATTGACCGGTTCTCATCAATGGGGGTGAAGATGCTGTGCTGCTTGCGCTGCGGCATCTTCTTGATGGCGGACGCAGTGTCGAGGAAAGGTTGATGGGGCTTTTCAGAGTTCGGCTCTGGCTTCGGCTCCATGGGCGCCGGCGGCTGCGGTTCCTGCGACAGTCGGCGATGGATCTGGGGGACCTCCAAGTGCTGAGGCTGAGGTTGAGGAGGAGACATCTGAGGAACTGGCTGCGGAGGGAGCTGCGAAGGGTGCGATTGCGGCGGTGACATGCGCTGGTGGGTTTGAGCAGGCGGAGGTGGAGGAGCTTGCGGCGGATAGGTCGGGGGAGGTACGGAAGTCCGTCTCTGCTCGTCAACGTAGGGCTGCATTTGCGGAGGAGGTACCGACGCCCGCCTTTGGTCTTCAACGTACGAGGGCTGCATTTGAGGGTGTTGAGGATGTTGTGGGTGTGGGGGCGGCTGGTACGCATATTGTGGTTGTGGCTGCGGCGGCATGGAATGTTGTACATTTGGGGGCATCGTCTGGTTCGGGGGCTGGTAAATGTGCGGTTGCGGCATGTAAGCGTATCCGTTTGGCTGTGGTCCCGGAGGGCCCACTGGTTGCGGCATGCCAGGTCCTCTACGGTAGTCGTTTCTCGAAGAAGGTCTCGAGCCCATTTGCGGCGGCTGTGGAGTATGGCCGCGGGGAGCAAACGGGGCGCCGTTGATGGGAGGTGAAGCCGAGGGAGTATGACCGCGCAGATGCGGAAACGGAACATGCTGAGCTGAGTATTGGGGAGGCATCATGTGTGGCTCTACAGAGCCCTCATGGACGTGGGGAGGAGTGCCTTCGCCGTCGTCATCCTCGTCGTCGTCTGCGCCGCCGTTGAAGTCGGCCGGGCCTTTGTGCTCATTGGGACCACCGTGCTGCAACAGATATACTCGTTAGCATCAATTTATGACAATGGCTTGGTCTAATGTGGGATCCGTTGTACGTACATATTGGTATTTCGTGATGAGCTCACGCATGTCCGCCGAAGAATATTCGTACAGCTTCTTATTGCTCCCAAAGATGAAGACGGCGACATCGACAGAGCAGAGCACAGAGAGCTCATGAGCCTTCTTGAACAGGCCACCTTTTCGCTTTAGAAATGTGCTAGAGGAGCAGAAGAGTTAGTAAACAGCATTGATGGCCTTGTGGCATTATTTGCGACAGAAGAATCTGGCTCGGGGAGCTGGAGGTGCGCTGGAGGGGGGAGGCGGGTAAAGCTTACACAGAACGATTTCTGTCATCCTTGATGGCCTTGATCTCGATCTTTCTCCTGCCCATTTTGACGGAATTGAGCAAAAGATGGCGGGGAGAGGTGAAAACGCGAAGCTGCTAAGGTCGCGCGGAGGCGTAGCAGGGGAAACCGAGGGGTGGGCGTTGGAATTCGCCTCGAGGTTGTGGTAGTTGTCCCAGCTTGAAAGCGGTCGCGATATGTCAGATTGAATGAGATTTGGAGACCTAAAGTAGGTAGGCGCAGGCTTGGTGTCCCGCCCTTGGTTCGGGTCTTGTCTTGGGCGGCCAACGGCTGACGGCGCGCGTGCGGAGGGGGTTGATTATGTCAAAAACTCTCTTTTGGTTTTTCTCTCCTCCTTCCTTCTCTCTTTCCCACCTTTGGAAAGTTTGAGCGGCAGAATCTGGCCAAGAAGTTTGGTTCGAAGGAGTGCTAATAGCAGCAAATAGTCTTGATGATAATAAGAATACCAATAGAAATAGGAGTTTTAAAGAAAAAGAAAAAAAATATGATAAAAATAATACAAAGGTGTATATTATAATCAACACTGGCACGCGTTAAGAGGCGAATTGGCCAGTTAGTCGTGAGCAGAATGAATGTTTTGAAGGTTCAGAAATGTCCGAGGCCGGCTAGGCGAGTGAGCGTGTTTGAATTGGAAGAACTGCTCGAGGGGGGCTCAAGTAGTTGCTCTAGTAAAGGATGGGGCCAGGACATGAAACGGTCTGTTGGTGATGCGACAAGAGGCGCGATATATGAATGAAATGCCAGCAGCGGGTGGTTGCGCAGAGCGTGCAGACGGTTGACAGGCAGGCAGGCAGGCACAGGGCAGTCGAAGGTAAGGTGTAGTAGAAGATGGTGTAGTAGGTAGGCGGGTGAGCTTAGCTGCGGTACGATGCGATGCGCCTCGAATGCAAAGGACGATGTGTGGTGACCGGGTATAGAGACACACACACGCACGCACACACTCAGACACACAGAAAGAGAGACTCAAAAGAGATGCGTATGTTAAAAAAGAGGTGTGTATAGTTTCTGCAATGTGTGTGTATGATGCACGAAAGATACAAGATACCGAATTGATGCTATGCTACACTTGCAGGGCGATGGGGCTGAATCTGGCGTGGGTGATGCTAATAATAGACAAGATCGTGGGCAAAAGGGCGGACGCGGCACCTTTTAAACTTCTTTTTGGGTTGGAGACTCGAAGAAGCGGGACAAGAGGGAGAGCGAGGAGGGGAGGGGAGACTGACCAAAAAAAAAAAAAAAAAGTGAGCAGAGCAGAACAGCCAGCAACAGAGTGAGCAGGGTGTGTGCGTGCGGGTGGACGGGCGGGCTGCTCCAACTGCTTGCTCTGGGTACCTCGACTCGGCACTAGGCTTGTTAGCAGGTGGGAATCCCAGTCGCTTCGTCGAAACTTGAACGAAAGGGTTTGTGACCGACCGCAACGAACCCCGTTCATTGACCTACGTTGATACATTGTAGCAGTGGTAATAACATGTTCTGTCAGCTAAAGTAAATGTAGCCTAGGTAATGGAATCTAGGTATTTTAATTCCACTGTGTTATTGCGCATAGTAGTAGTAGTAGTAGGACACGATGCACACTTGCTGTCTTGTTGTTACCTGCATCTCATCACCCTCATAACCGGACTCCAACGATAAAAGTCCTAGATCTCTTGCGCCCTGGTCACGTAGCTGGCTAGGGGAGTTTCTATCCTCTGCATCTATTCGGTCCCGTTTACACTCTCAGCTCTGCTGTCTCCCCCTCTCAGAGAGTAATACGGGGAGAGAAGCAGGAAAAGACCACTCAGAGCCAAGCGAAAACATCTTCAATATCCTTCTGCTCTCTCCTGATGAATTTCAACAGACCAGTGAGAAGTCAAGCACCGCCCATGGACTCGAGACTCATTTGTCCAGGGGACCAAAAGGAAAAAGAAAAAAAGTGGATAGACAGTGGAGAAAACGGTTGCTCTGAGGTACTTAGCATATGACCAATTGCCTGACAAGTTACATATAGTCCCCGCTGGAGCTTCATAATCGTCCCTGTCCATTCATACATTGCCTAGGTACATGGTCCGTAGGGTTAAGTAGGTACGCAAGCTCATGTACCTCAAATGACCTGCTCGGCATGATACTTAGCAACTCCCAATTCGAGCCATGTCGTTATCTTTCATCCGAGATCACGACAAGAGACTGGCCATTTACCATCGGCGAGACAGCGAAAAACCAATTAAGTCGCAATCTTTTGTTCGCTCGTTTGTCCTTCTTCTCTCAGTGCTGTGCGTGGGTCACGAGTTCTGCTGCTTCAAGGGCAGTTCCACTGCGACGGCTTGGACGCGACTAGTAGTTCAAGTACCTGGTAGTTGACGGGGCACCGACCAGCACTGACTGATTGCTGGGTCTGCTGCTTGCTTGCTGATGTCCGTGGTTCTCAAGCACTTGCAGCAGCACCGTTGTTCCGGGATGAGATGTACTCCACCACCCACCGCTGGCCCCCCTTCAAATGGACTTCTCCATCTCATCAGTCTCTCTCCTTTGTAATGTTATGTGCTAGCTAGTAGGTAGCTCGTAGCCAGAGAAAGAATGCCCAATTTCGAGTAATTTTTGGATTGGTACGAGAGTTTCCTTGATTCATCCAATACCTTCTACTCAACTAACGATTTTGACGCGAATGAAGCCACGGAGGTTGTCATGGTAGATTTCGGGGTAATCATAACGCTACATGCTAGGTAGGTAATGTATCATCCATGGTCTGTCTCTTGGGACCGCGGGCCAATTATCTGGCCATCGCATCGTGTCTGCTGCTTGCTCTGTTACACCCGGTCACCAGGACCGACACGTTTGAGCTTTGTTCGTCGGGACGATCACAATCGACACACTGTATAGTCCTAGATTGCGACCGGCGACCAGCAACCAGCAACCTGTAACACGGCTTCAGAGGACAGTGTGTGTTCGACCTTTTCCCGGAAGGGCAGGACCCGATGCCGTTGGGGATTTTACCCGGGATAGAGTACCAGGGTGTTCCCTTTCTTTACTCTTTCTGGGCTCATGTCCCGTACCAACAAGCACTTGGCTAGGTGCACTAGCACACACCTCAATTCGAGTTCTCAGCCTTATCACTCCAATAGAAGCGCACACGTCCATTCCGTCAATGGACCCTGCAAATCATATGATGATGCCTTTCTACCCTTGGCGCGAATTGCGTACCTGTCTGGACCGCCGAATGGGATTGATGACCATGAAGATCTACCCGTGCAGTTCGCTCAACACCCTTGTATCTGTCGTTGCTGAGATTACGTACGATTCTTCGGGCGGACAGGTGCGCTTCTGCGAACTTGGGTCAACCGGCTCGGTACCACTCCATGTACGTGAGCTAGCCCGTTGAAGTTTTTTTTTTTTTTTTTTTTTTCCCTTCTCTCTGTTCCCTTTGCGTGCGTCATGTCTGTCTGCTCAGGACGAGTACCGTACACCGACGAGGAGACGAGACGAGAAACAAGAGGTCGTCGTCCCTCTCATGCCCCGCTCACACCTCTTTCTCTTGTTCCCCTCCTTGAGCCGCAAGGCGCAGTTATCTTTAGAAATGCAACATGTTTCTCGAGTATTACTCCATTGACTGGCTGGCTGGCCTGGCGCGTTGCACACTGCCGTTTTCAGCTGTTTACTTGCCTTCACTGCCCCGCTCCAGGACCAATCTGATGTCGCCTGTTCAATCGTCATCCAGCTGCTTGGGAATGCAATCCAGATCCGTCCCTGCCAAGTCCTACTCAATTCTCGTGCATATCTCTCTCTCTCTCTCTCTCTCTCTCTTTCTCTCTGCACGGCCAAGATAGCCGCCTACTACCCAAAGACATACATGGAGATACAGCTGTGCTCACTACATTCTCGACAGGTCGATCATGCCGGCAATCGATCCGATGAGTGGGCTGCCAGTTGATGATCTTTCGGATGCTTCTAGTGTAGCATATAGAAATGCCGAATCGGCGTGATCGCCTCGCAACCGAGTCTTATTAATCCAATAATCGCAACCTTGACTTGACAGACAAACATGGATTATCATGGGTATCTGGCTGGTGGGAACAGTATACCTTGTATATCTCAAGGCCAAAAGAGCGAGAGACCTTGCAATGAAATATCATCCCTACCTAGCTACTGTGTACGAATGAGCACATACAAGGAATCAACCCCTTGACCCTGTTGGCTCGACCTACGTATATTCATCCTGTGCGAAAATCTAGGCCGGGACGAAAGACCCCATCTAGTGGACTAAACTCCCTCGTTCATGGAAGAGCTGCTTGATACAACCACTTCTCTCCCGAAGTTGCAAGGGCAGAAATGGATCAACTTGTCTGCTAGAGACCCATCATTGAATCTTTCTCATTTGTTGCCCAACTCACAGACTAAGCGCCGTGGTGATTGGCCATGGAAAACTAAAATAACCTTAAACATCTGCTAGTCTCTCGACCGCTGCCAAGATATGATGGGTGTTTTCACATGCACGCATTCCACACTACTATGTATTTGTGTAGACGTTTATGGGACCCCAGCGATACGTACCCTGCGTTTTTTGTCCTTCTTTCTCCTCCTTTGAAGACTATTTGGGTGTCCGATGATGCTGATGAGATGAACACATCATCGCCAGATCCCATCCCCTGGACACCTCGTTGTCTTCTGTAGGTATGCTGCATGTTGTAAGCAGAGCAAGCAAACTATTAGTCCATTGAGGCTTGGACTGCCTCAAAAGACACGAGGAGTGGTTGGACAAATTGGAGAAAGCAGGCTGGGCAAAAAGAGAAGATGGGGTAAAGAGACTGGACTCCACGACGGGAAACCCTCTTGGAGGGATGGATGGAAACAACCGAGCCAAACAACGCGCAGGCCCCGGTCCAAGTCTGGTTGCTATTAATAGCTATTTATAGCACAGCTACCCTAACGTGCATATGGGCCTATTGCAGTACATACCGAACAGGTAAAAGATGTCACATTTCTTGGTCCCGTTTCGGTCAATTAGCCCAGAATAATGACATGCCAAGGTGGGCAAATTACCCTGTTTTTTTTTCTCTTTCCCGGCGGTGTGAGGGTAATATTGTGATGCCCGACTGACCATCAATCATCATCCTTGCATCTGATCAGTGATCACATATTCAATTCTTGTACGACTGTACCCATTCGACCGATCCTTTTTTTTTTTTTTTTTTTTCATTGCCCATTTTGTCACGAGCAGTGATTATTTTGGATACCACGAAACGTCGAACTTGAAAGAGGAAAGGAGAAACAGCACGGTACTGCTGCTGCTCGTACTACTATGTACAATATGTTTCCCGTTCATAGGTAGTCTGAGAGGACAATAGCAGATCAATCGAAGCCCATCATGTTTACATGGATCTGGCAAGCGCGACAACAGAACCAACGCTTATCGTGCAAAAAACTCCGGAAGCAACGTCTCATGCTACGTGCATGTAGGCATCTACATTATCCAAGACCAACATTTGATGAATCTGTGCTTCCTTGTCTCTCTCTATCTCACGCACATTGACCAGCAGTGAAATCGCGACCTGGAAATCAACCAACACACGTACGCACACATGAACACGCACACACCAAATGCTAAAGACGTCGGTGCCGAAAGAGACCATTATGGGATGTATACATTTCTTACTCGTACATTGTCTTTCTTCTTTTTCTCGCCCTTCCCCCCTTTCGTCATATACTGCTCGCTCGTTCGCTCCCGTTTGCAAGCTTGAATCCCGCTTACATCCGTCCCTTGGCAGGCACATTGCGCTTTGCTTACGTTGCATATCGGCTTTCTCTCCTGTGTGCGGCAGCCCATGGTTGGCTCACAGACAAGCCCTTCCCCCTCTTGAACGTCTCTTCTCTTTTTTTCACCTCTTTCAGTCGTTCCGTCTTGCAAAAAAGTTGGAGCACCTTCCTCTTCGCGTCACGCATGGCTTACAAGGCTTGCGCCAGAGTTCGCCGAGTGAGTACAGGCGCAGGGCAATAATCTGACAGTTTGCATTCAGGTCAGAGTGACAAAGATTCAGAGAAACCACGTCCCCTTGCCATTCATTCATTGACTGCAAAACCTCTTACCATCCTGGTAGGTCAGAGAATGAATAATGCTATGCGACACGGCGAAAGCGATACAAACAGACACTCCCCCTGGCACTGTCTAGTTGTCGCCAGGAACACAATAGAAGTTAGCCGCCAGCTGGGCAGTATACCTACATTATTTACATACATACCTACCTTATTACCCAGCCCCGATCAATACTCGTAAGTACATAACATACGTGCAGCCGAGCAACGATACACACCAGGCCAATCACTTTGGTAACTTGACCCTTGTCTCCAAGACATGTATGTATAGTACTAGAGCAGCGGACCGCAAAACTGCGCCAGCCTGATGTGGGATCTCCCCCCTCCTCAAAGGGAAGAGAGAGAGAGAGAGAGAGAGAAAGGTGCTGCGCATTTCTTGGCATCCACGGGACACGGTGGACGACGATATCGGGAAACCGAACCATCATTCGGGATGCTCAGTTGACATTCCTGGTAAAAGAACAAGCACAATTCTTTTTTTTTTCCTTTCTTTCATGGCGCCTTCCTTCGAATGGCTATGCGACTGAATGTTTGCAGACGACAACACTATTTACGATTGCTTACAAGGACGCATCAGCTTCAAAGAATCACCGTGCAACCAACAAGGCCTTGATTGGTTCGGTCTACAGTGATGCGAATATGTTAGTATGCTGAAGAGAAGTTGGAGAGATTGAATGGTTGGTAGAACCAACAGGAGCCAAACAAGTTTCTGTCAACCACCGTCCTATCATTGAAGCAGCTAGGTACTGCGTTCTATACACCGGGAATGGTGCAGAAAGTATATTTGAATGAATGTTCCACTTTGGTTATAGTACATGGATTGGTCTTGGCCAGTAACCCGCACCATCTTCTTGTCGTCTATCAATACGTATCCATCATTGCAGTTAGGTATCGATGTCCCGCAAGCCCATGCATCCCTTCCCTTCCCTCTCTCTCCCCCCTCTAGCGATCCCCAAATGTCAGGTCCTTTTGCAGATTTCCTCCCAATCATGACTCGCCATGCCCGTGTGTTGTTGACGCAAGGTTCTGCAATTGCTTGCACACTCAATTGCTCGTCATCTTTGTCACCCAGAATTCCTGCAAGTACGGAATGGTACTCTTGCCAAAACCCACAAATCTCACTCTTCTCTCCCTCACCTGCACGTACCTTGGTGGGTGCATCAAGTATTTGTGCGGCACGCAGCGCTCCCTCTATTCAGGATCAGGGCTGCTGCTGATGGCATCTACCTACATTACCTACTGCCCAAAATGTTGCTCCAATCCTGGCTGTGTTCGGCTGCAGGCTTCTACTGCTTCTTCTACCGCTTCTTCGTCATGGGTTTCCCAGATTCTTCCTCGGCTTGGCAGCGGTTGTCTCACCTTCCACGCACACATATGCAAGCCTCTTATTCCTTTCCAAATGTTTGGTCGCTCACTCAACCAAACTCGTACACACAAATCATGTCATATCCATATTTGGGGTCCGAGAAGTCCCCTGCCTACATACACATCATTGAAATGCACGTCTGAACTGCATGAGACGAACCCTTCTCTTTCCCCCCCTGCCCCCCTTTCCTCCCCCAAAGAGCCGCCGGGGATGTGCAAACACACATTGCCATTGCAGGCATCATCTATAGTCAGTCCGTCTCCTCGGGCCTGCTGCCAGCCTCTACATGTAGGTTGAGTAGCGTCAAGATTGCTATGTTTAGCAACTTTCTGGCAGTTTGGGAAACCACTCCATGCCTACCCACACCAAGACAACCATGATACCGCTGGGTCGGTCGGTAGTTGGCTTCTCATATCCACCACACAAACCCATGCCCCAGGCCTATTCCGTCTCCCCCCCCCCGACCAGACCTGGGAAATCCCGATTAGGACTTGGCCTGCTCACACCCAGTCTATTCTCCTCATCTTCCCTTTGTCAACCGCTCTTGTTACCCGTACTCTGTTTCTAGAAAAGGTCGTCATCGCTAAACTGCACTGTGCTTTTGATCTGCAATGCAATGTATGGGCGGCAGGTAGGTCTCGGTTGTTGGAGGGCTATGATACGTTCCTGCCTAAGCGCCCGCGCGCAAACATATTCGGTAAGTCAAGAGCTGCGCCGAATGCTGCGGCTCGAAATCCCAAGGCTCTGGATATGTACGACCTCTCCTAGGCGACGGCCGGGTTACGTTGTGAGTGGAGGCTCGGGAGTAACATTCACAGTTTGTCTTTTGGCTAACTATCGCCAATGTCACAGTATGCGTTTTTGTAGTTTCCCAAGAATCAATTCATGAGCATTCACTATTGTGGAGATACTTGCTGAACTATGAAACCCCCATTGCTCTTGGGTCTCGTCACAACTCCCTTGCCCCCTTAGGTGTGAACGCCATAGAAAATGCTCTCAAACTCGGTCGGAAGTCCCTCTTTCTCTCAAGTATTTGCATGGCTTGTACCATGATCACCAGACTGGACGTCTCTTACCGAGGGGTATCTAAAGGACCTGAAACTCCCTTTTTTGCCCAACTGGGCGCAAGAAAAAACCAAACCATGAACGCCTATGCTTGTGCGTATGCCATACTCCGTGGAAAATGCGTGTCATACTTTTCCCTTTCCCCTTCAAAAGAACCCCTCTTCCATAACTCTTCATTGTGAGAAGATGCTGTTTGATCAACTGGGATATGATGCAGTACTCGAGTTGCGAAAGGGTCATCTTTCTGGCCTCATCCTCTAGTCGTCGTCGTTTGCCGCACCCGGCGCGCTGAAGGAGCCGAAACCTCCAAGCTCAGCAGCATTATTATCCGTCGAGATTGTGCCATTGAGCAGTGGACATTTGCTGCAACCATGGATGTCAGTAAGGTGGCCCACTGTGCAAAAGGTTTCATCAAAGGAAGAGAAAGTAAATGCCCGCGCCCAAAAGACCCAAATAGGTTAACCCATGAAATCGCCGAAAAGCACGATAGAAAGAATTCTATCGACATGATAATCGCCGAAAGGCATGATAGAAAGAATTCTATCGACAGGATACAAAGCTTTGAAATAAACATGGTGAATGTAATCATGAAAGAAAGACAGAGAACCAGTGCATGAATGTAACATGAATCGTGCATGGTCAATGACAGGTTGGGGGCAAGGCGCAACTATCGCTCCACCATGTACATGTTCGCAAATGTGGAATTTCTAGATGAGAAACTTCCTCATCTCTATGAAAGGGGTCAAGAAGCAGGGGTAGTAAGACAGTGGTAGGTATACCTCTTGTTGGTCTTGATGTGGCCGATCTGACCACAGTTTGCGCATTTGCGAGTCGTGCCGCCCGCCGTCTTATCGACAGGGCCAGACGCGCTCGGGGAGCCTGCAATGTTGGCTTGGGCATTTTTTCTCTTGCCTTTGCCCTGCTTTTCGCGTACTTGACGGCGATCGGCATTCTTTTCGAGCCGAGACAACTCTTGTTCGATCCTGTATGATTGTAAGTCGAGCGTTTCGCGTGGCTGGGGATCCAGTATGATGAGAACTTACAATCTACTTTGCAGCCGATCAGTATCGGCATCACCCGTGGGTTTGGCGGCGTAGATACTAGAGGCAGTGTTAGCAGATGCATTCCATTATGGTAATTTTGACGAAAATTGTCCTATGGTATCGAAATCAATGGCGACAACACGGGTTCAAAGTTCTTTCCACTTACTCTCTCTTGGCAGCGTCCAGTTCCCGACGTTGCTTGATGTAACTGCGAATCACCTGGGGGTCATCCAGAACCAAGGTCTCGGTATAGATGCTGCCATCTTCAGCCTTCTTCTTGCGCGTGATCTTCAGCTTGCGGCGGCCAGATCGACTATTTTGGCTGAAGCGACTCAATTGACTGCGACCATCATCGAGGTGGGCAGCAGACGTGTGGTCGGCAGATTTCTGTGGATTGAATCTGTCATCTTCGTTTGCAGTGTCCAGAACATCCGCATCCTCATGGGTCGTGGAGTCCGAGAGTGTCAGCTTCTGCCTTTCCCATATCTCCTTGATGGCTGCAGTGTACATCTCGTTTTGTTTCTTGACGTTGTAGGAGTGGCCACCATTCGCCTTACGTTCACGCTCAATGGCATCTGCACTTGTTGCAAGCGGACCCTGGACGGCATTGATGTACCCGCCCTTCATCGAAGTCTTGATGAAGCTGAAGCCGAGACCGTGACCAGTGGGATCACCCTCGCCGTGAAGAGCAACCATGGCCTTGCTTTGACAAGCGTCGAGGAAGTTCTTGGTCAGTTCCCATGGAGCCAATTTGGCCACCAGGGGAATGTCAGTACCTAGCTCGTCGTCATCGTCAGCAAAACTAGGCGCCTTTGGATCGTAGCCTGCATTCTGCAATGTGGCCGAGCCGACCTGGGTAGCTTCAATGAGTACCACATCTTCGGGCTTGATCTGCTGGCGAATCGTTCGCTCATCCATGGGCGCATCGCCCTCCTTATATTTCCACGTCTTTGACTCTTTATCATAGACGTAGAACTCTTTCATCTTTTGTCTGTCATTTGGGTCAATTTTGCCATGAGAATAGTAATCTCCTCCGGGCGGGTACCTATTTTGAGGGTCCACTTTATCAAAGACATGCGAAGTGACTTCTCTAATATCGATATCCAGGGTTGGTCGATGCCTTGCCATACGGTCACAGATTGCCCTCATTCGCTTCTTGTTCGTGCTTGTAATCATCCTGGCATGGGGGCCTGGAACCTCTTGAAACACGTTCTGCTGGCCTACCACTTGCACACTAAAGGCTTTTCTCAGATAGTAGTGTGGCGCATCCCTCGCAGTCATGCTGAAGCCGAGAATGAAATCATTATTTCGCTGTTCATGCTTGAACACTGGTGCGCGGAACAAGGCATTGTGGAGCGTAGGCACGACTTCCCCAATATCAACTGTTCCGAATATGGAAAAGGGCGACTTGTCTTCTGGCAGAAGTGTTTGTGTCTCACCCAGCTCCGCCTTTGGAAGCTTGTCTTCCTCGTCGCCGTCCTGTCGTCGGGTGTAGTTGATGATCCGGCTGCCCATGCCGAATTTATTCAGCAAGATAGGAGATTGCTCGCAGTACTCGAAGAGAACAATATTCGCATTGTCATTCAAGCTGAGATCCCTGCTGGTCTTGTACACTTCGGCAACAGGTTTACCCTTGAGCTCCTTGCGTTTGACCTTGGCAGGTTTCTTGAACTTGATCTGATACTTGATGTACCGGGCAATGTCAAACTTGGGGCGGTGGTGCTCCCAAAACTCCACATTGAGTTTCGTTCGATAGAACGGGAAGGCGAGCTTCTGGGCAGGCATACTATGCTCCACATCCAGGTTAGACAGCGTAGCCCTGACCTTGCTCTTATGGTTGGCCTTGAGCGCTTCGTATGCTGCATCATTGGAGTGGTTGAAACGGCTCATAACATCGCGACCAAGCTGTCCATTTGCCATTCTTCTCATCTTTTCCTCAGTCCGGGCCTTCTTGGCAGGACGCTCCTGTTGCATGTCTTCGATCAGGAGGTAGGGGTCGTTCTGGTCCAGCACGATACACTGAGCATTTCTTCTTGTACTTTCGAGAAAATTGGAAATGCCATGCGTTTCGTACGCAGGTAAGCGGGGTAGACCTGGTTCATATCGACGCTTCTGCTTGGGTTGCGGCTTTCGATCCCCCAGGAACTCTCTCTCCCAATCATCCATGGGTTCATCTTCTTCTTCGGGTGGCGTGAGATGCCCATTGATTTGAAGCGAAGTGATAGGATCGTTGATATTCTCCCAGTCTTCGCAGATGGTGGCGATCTCAGTCATGGAATAACCCCCAACAAGCTCATTCTCGTCATCGGAATCAGAAAGCCCGTCATCAAAGTTCATGAGTGCAGGGCCAGTGATGTTGCTCCAAGGCGTGCTGTCTCCATACTGTTGCTGCTGGGATCTCTTAGATGTTGCAGCAAGAGCAGAATCGGGGATGCGGAACAGCTTAGATGTGTCGACATCGATTTCCAGCTCGAGCTTGGTAGGGACCAGAGGCGGCGGGCTCTTGGGAGGCTCTTTATAAACATAATCAGCCGGCCATTCTGGAAAAATCTCGCGAAAGTTGAGAACTTTGTGTTCTTCGAAAGCAGGAAACTTGTGCCTCAAGAGCTCGTCAATGTTTTGAGGGGGCACCGGAATCGAGGGGTCTTGATGTTGCGTCTGATCCGTGATCCAATCACTAATACTATTCGGCTCTTGTTGCGGAAAATTCAACTTGAATCTCTCTTCCCAAGACATGGTATTCCAGTCGTCGTCGGTGACATTAGCAGCAACAGCTGCCGGAGGGGCTTTCAGCGCCTCGACCGGGGACTCTGGGGCGGCTGGCGCATTATCGTGGACAGGAGATGACGGAGGAAGATCCGTATGTCCTCCATCTCGGTCGCCGAAAAGATCGTCGAGATCGGCGTCGCCTTCGACGTCGGCATCGTGACTGCCGTTGTCTTCTGTGAGACCGGGGACCTGCGAGGTAGCGGCTGTAGGGCCGGCCGGTGAGGCGGCATCATCATCGGAGGCTAGATCGTCGTCGCTCAAGTCTTCGAAGTCAATGGCATTGTCTGCCTTGTCGGTTTGGTCAATCTCCTTGCTGTCGAAGCCTTCCAAGCCGTTGACATTGCCCTCTGTGGCCAGAGTATTGAGAATCTTTTGGAGGTCGTCATCGTCCTGCTTTGCGGTGGAGTCGTCGACTTCCATCTCATCGGGCTCGATGTCGCCGAAAAGATCACTATGATCTTCCAGACCATTGGCCTCGGCTACATCTGGGGATGCGGCCATGATGACGGATAATGTGGTCGCATGAGACGTGGATGGTGTTAGAAATCGCGGGCGCGGGTTGCGTTCGTGCTTCGCGATGCGACCGACGGGGCAGGCAGGTACTAGGTTGCTTGCTTGCTTGCTTGCTACCTTTAGCTACCAGCAGGGTAATGTAGGCTGGGCCAGCTGGGAAGAACTGTTTTGGCGTTAGTCAGCTGGTGGAAAAAGCACTTAGCACTCGAGGTAAGGCGCTGTGTCTCCCCCACATTGAACTGAAGTGGGTCTCGCCCAGGCACCTGGGTACGTGGCGCGCGCTACCAATTGGGCGGCAGGAACGTGTTTTAACGTAGAGGCACCAGACACCAGGACCTCCATAGACTTTATTTTATGCTTGTGATTGATCTTGGTCCAGTCTTGGCTTCTTCTGCTTGCTGCGGTGCGCACACCTTGGATTGGCAAAACCGTTTACTTACCAAGAGAGCTGTGTGGAATCTTTGTAAGATGATGAAAGAGTTGCGAAGCTGAAAGCGATCTGATTGAGTAGATACCGAGGTAGGTACTCCGCACTTGCACTTGGCACTTCAGAAAATGGAAGTTGGCCGATGGTATGTAGAATTGGTAGATTCAGTTGAGGAGGCAGTCCAAAGACGGTCGGGCTGGCATGTACCTGGGCAAAAGTCAGGCAGCCTAAGAATTCGCGATATGGAATCGAGGTATGGGGTAGACGTTTCAAAAGTCTTGCGTGGGAGGTGGTTTCGATGTGATAGGTGTTACTATTGTAGGTTGGACGATGCTCTGGCACCTTGATGGAAATCATCCAAGGTTATCTCATTGGCAAAGCTTGTTTCGCAGCCTCCCCAAGCCCCCAAGTATGAGAAAGTGTCCGGCGGCACCTGAAATTATGCCACTACCAAAAAGATGCTCTTTTTTTTTTTTTTTTGATCGGTTCCCTTTGTACATGATCCGTCATTCGGTCAAGATGTACAGAGAAGGATACAATGTAGACAGACCAATTGTTAGTGTCGAGGGCTTCTGGATGGCCTTGATTAAAACCTAGGACTTTAGACAAACTGTATCTAGGTAAGATCTCTCCAGATTCGCACCAACACACTTTCTGGCACGAGACTTCATCCTACTTTGCCTCTCAATTCTCTAATAGTATTATATTATGTCAACCTGTATCGATCAACAGTGGCTCAGTGAATGGTCTTATGCACATGCCTGCCTATCCAAGCGGTCATGACCCTGCTCAAGCTTGCCAGCGCTAATATGCTATTTGTGCAACGCGCCAAATACTGAAGAATCGCCCGCCTTGCATTCTATACTGGTACGTATTCAACAATTTCATTTCTGGATTTGTGCATGCTTGGGAGTCTACATCATTATCATTATCATTATTGTACATGACGTTTTGTACCTCGGTGATACTCTTGGGCCGTTCACTCGTGTTTGTACTCGTAGCCACTAATACAATACTTTATTAGACATATTGATGATGGCAGCGGCTTATTATCTATCAGCTCAACACGCTGGAAAAGTCAACCAACCATGACTTTTGGGTCCACTGCATGATCCGACTTCGGTACATACGTCGCATATGCATCAGCACCCCTTGCTCTGGTGTCAAGCCAAGTGGAGTTCAACGTTGAGTTCCGAGGGATTGGGAAATTGAGAGACTCAACATCAATTGAGCACGGCATTATATCCCACACCTCCCATCCTGGTGGCTGCTCTCCGCAAAGTTTCATATTCGTCCATCTTGACTTTGCCCACCAAAGATCTCGCCTCGCCCCGAGTCCTCAATGGCTATGTATCCTTCCAAGGACTTGCTCAGAGCCAAGTATGTTGGGAAGAATCTCTTCCAGGTGGCGACGCCATCTGTCGTCCTGGACTTGGCAAAGCTAGAGGCCAATTGCAATCTGATGCTTGAGGCTGCCGATAGACTTGACCTCAGCTGGCGGGCTCACATCAAGACTCACAAGGTAAGCTTTCCCACCAGTATGCAGTCCGCCTACCCAATCTAGAACTTGGGCCTATTTTATATTTACTTGTCTTTAAACATGCCCCTGTCAGACGCAGCAGTTCACTTCAGCCAATCATTGTTAACCCCAACTCTAGACCGCCGAACTTACACGCCTGCAAGTTGGAGATCGCAGCACAGCCCCAGTCAATATAGTCGTCTCAACTCTCGCTGAAGCGGAGAATGTCCTACCACTGCTGAAGGAGTATCAAGGGCGCGGCCGCCAAGTCAACGTGAGATCCATAGACAACGCCACAATGTGTCTGCCAAATATCACTGACTAGCCTCAGCTTCTCTTTGCCTTTCCTATTTACACCTCATCCGTAGATCGCCTGGCAGCTATATCCGCACAACTAGGGCCCAACGGCCTGACTGTCATGGTGGATCACACTGAGCAAATCAAGCATTTGACTTCTCTAGCGTCCAAATCAGGCAGTCCGCCACAGGTCTTTCTGAAGATTGACGTTGGCAGTCACCGAGCTGGAGTGATTCCTGGCTCGCCAGATTGCTCTCGCTTGGTCGATCAGTTACTCGTCTCGGAAGCTGTAGGTTCTTGCCTGTTTGTGGGCATCTACGCTCATGCCAACCACTCTTACGAAGCTCGCAAGGACTGGGAAGCCCTAAACTTTCTCGGCATCGAGTTCAGCTCGCTTCAGACGGTTGCTCGGGCGGTTCGCAAGGAGAGGCCAAACCATCCGCTGGTGCTATCTGTAGGAGCAACACCGACGGCGACCTCATTGCAACATCCATCATTCAGTGACGATGCCGAGATCGCCTCGAATCTGGACGGACAGGAACTGACCAGCCATATGTCGGCGCTGATCAAGGAGCTCAAGAAGGAGAACTTCACTCTCGAGATCCACGCTGGCGTGTATCCCACGCTCGATCTTCAACAACTCGCCGCGCACTCTCGTGACTCCAAATTCTTAAACTCGGCTGCTATTGCCATCTCCGTTCTGACAGAAGTATGCAGTCTGTATGCTGGCCGTGGTCCGAATGGTACGACAGAAGCCTTGATCAATGCAGGTACTCTGGCTTTAGCCAGGGAGCCATGCGCAGACAAGGGCAACCCCCCAGGACAGCATTACGGGAACTGGGGTATTGTTACGCCGTGGAACTGCGAAAGACAGGTGGTTCCAGGTCCCGAATTCCCAGCCAAGCACGGAGGATGGCAAGTAGCCAGAGTTACCCAGGAGCATGGAATACTACAATGGGTTGGTCCCAAGACAGACGATTCTCAGCTATATGTCGGTCAGAGACTACGAGTCTGGCCGAACCACGCATGCATCACGAGTGCCGGACACTCATGGTATTTGGTAGTAGACAGCCGCAATCGGGGCCGTGAGGATGAGATTATTGATGTCTGGCCTAGGTGGAATGGATGGTGATTTCAATGAGCGATTTTTTTTTTTTTGGACGTATTGCTATTTCCCCTTGATTCCTATACCCAATAACGCAACGTGTTACAAAGCTTTGAGTCTTCTTCATTATACTTATATTTACCCATCATCTGTTGTAGAATGATGTCGTTGTCCGGTTTATAACGGTTGCTCGACTGAAGGTTCCGTAGGGAGAATTGTGATATAATTGATATCGCCATGAAGGACGACAATTTGGAAACATGGTAAGTTGAATACATGTATGACCGACTCATCAATACCGGCGAGGGGGGAGGGGGAACCATCCCAAATCGTAATACATGCATAACATTACTCGCAGTCCCTTCTCCATCCCAGGCTGTAGGTAGAGCGGTAAGCCTAGTATAGAATTATAGGCAAGTCCCTTCGGGTCTTGGCATAAAACATTCACTATTCTGAAAAGCCTGGCAACATTACTCTGCATATCCACATAAGAGTTCGAATGGCTATTCAGGATGCACGTGCCATTGCCAAATCACACAGTCCACATGAATGCATTTTGCCAGAGCGTTTTATTCATTGCAAAATGTTACGTGTATCAGCTGGCCTCAATGTTTTTAGCATGACCCGCACGTTCGTCACTGGTGCACACCGGAACGCGGGTAGTTCTCTTAGTGCGTCCTGGCCCGATTTGTAGCAGGCTTGGCACATTGGGATAGACCTCGGGATTCATCAATCAGCATTGAACTCTAGGGCCCTAGTTTTGCCTCTTTGAGATTGTGCGAGACTGTGTGTTTGTGATTATGGGTCTATACCAGCCAAGATAATTCGACTTCTGACCGCTGAGGCTCTTGTCATGGTGTCTTGATAGTCAGCATTGTTCCAGGGCTTCAGAGTACCGTGTCACTGGTAAGGTAATTGCCGGACGGGACCCCCCAAACGCCTGTCACCGCTGTACCTTGTTCGCTGCACCGTTGGCGGTAACTTGTGCTACTTGACGTGCACCTAAGCACCCCTGCCCACGTGGGTTTATTGGGATTGATTCCGACGCGGGACTCTCAACCTGCACCCTTTCACATGATTGACTTCCAACATTCTTTGCACCACTTTGCTTGCAAACACCACCACCTACAGCCCAGATTATACGCAGCCCTCAGTCCCGCCGCTGCCTGCGCCGATTTCCCCGCCGTATCGAGATAATTGCTGAGAGTCTGGGAAGTTGCATGTTGGGCATGTGAAGGGGGCCAAGTGCCGGCTTCGAGGCCGGATGCCAAGATGGGGAACGACGAAGACGACAAGCCGCCCCAAACCCGGGGTAGCTTCGCTACGGCGCCCCGATACGCCCGGATATCAACCTCTAGGTCGAGCCGGAGCTATGGTAGTTACGAGACTGGCGAATCCAGCACGGCGAACGGCGATGCTTCGGCAGTCCAAGATCCCTCCTTGACGGCCTCTGCCCTAGCCGAACATGACGCCTCGAGCAAGAGCCGACATATAGCGAAAGATGGTACACGCAGGCGGTCGCATAAGCCGCGACCTACCGGTGGTTTCCTCCTTGCTGATCCCATTTATGACGGGAAGCTAGGCCATTCTACTGCTGTTGATAGAGATGATGAGCGAAGGAGGTCTAGGATTCCGATCGATGGCCGAAGAGCGAAGAGTCCCATGCCGGCCACGGTGCCAGATGAGCTTGCATCGAGGAGGACTTATTCATCCGACTATGATGTTGATATGGCAGACATGATCGAGGGCGCAACCGAGGAGCGTCATGCTGGAAAGGGGCTCTCATCGGCCACATCCAGGATCCCGACCGCTCGGCCAAAGCAAGCTGTCGACCTCGATTCTACGCAGATTGTCAGCATGGCATTGAATTTGAGCGAGTCCAGAAGGATGGCACAAAGAAGAAACATCTCCAGCCCAATGCCCCCACGGCTTGCCCACGTTGCTGATAGCCCAGTCGGCGGCGGTCTTAAGCAGCACCTCCAGCAGCAGAGGCGGACGTCACGCAACCTATCCCCCAAGCCGGAGAAGAGCGGCCCAGCGCCGAGGACCGTCTCAGTGTCTCATCAAAGATTGACAAATCCTCTACAAGCATCATTTGATCCTGACAGCACTTATACGTATCATTTTTCATCTTCTACTCTGAACCGGGCCCAGAAGGCGAAAGAGCACTTCGAGCTCATGGCGCAGTACAGACGAATGTTGAATTTCGTACCGCCTTTGCAGGCCAAGAGCCAGGCAAGCCGCCCATCTACGTCAAGCCCTCCTACTTCTCCGAACGGCGGCCAATCATCTGCGTCTTACCCTTTCCCCAGGACTCAAGTACCGTTAGGGCGTCCTTACAATCCTTTGCAATACATAAGAAACCGCAAAGTTAGAGCTAGGGAGCGAAAGGTTATTGACGGAGAAGCTCAAGGCTTTTCTGATGTCAACAGGGTTACTGACTGGGTTGACCAAGCAGCTACCATGGCTGCTGCATCCCCCTTACAACCGGACAATGCGCCAACGATTCCCATGTACCCAGCCGCACACAACATCATGGATCCAGAGGTTTTGGATCTAGCCCAAATATCCAGTGCATCCAAATCCAAAAGGCCTAGAATCGACTGGTTTTTTGAACCGGCTGATCTGGTGGCTGATCTCTACTGGGTGGAACAGGACGACAACAAGTCGTTGATAGAGGATCGTCACTACAGCCGCATATTCCCATATCCCAAGAAGTCCTTGTCAATATCTCGGCCAATGTCCCCGAGCAAGAATGAGACCATGACTACTCCATTCCCTCCGACCCCCATGTCCCATGGAGAAGCAAATGCGAGCGAAGCATCGATGGACCGGGATCACTCGGACTCTAATGCAGTATCGAGGGCAGATACCGAGACATCGCATGTCAGCGCACGGGACCGGGCTCGACAAAAACTTCAAGAGCTCAAGGGCTTACACCACTGGCATAATTCTTCTCATAATCATCACGACTTCTTGCACATGCGGAAAAGCTCATTTTCAGATACTTCGGACAGCGATGGAGACCGCAGGAAGCGGGAGCGGAGTGGAACCGTTAGTGCTAATAGTAAGGCGTTATTGGAGAAACAGATGAATGAGATGCTGGCAAGAGAGGCACTTGCAGCTAAACAGAAGTCAACACAAGATACCAGTGCAGCAGCAGAGCTGCGGCCAAAACCATTCCGGACGAGCTTGATGACCCCAGAGAAGTCACCTGGCCCATCTGTTACCGATAATGCTGGAAGCGACGCCAGGATGGAAGGGAGTGATATTGATCGCTCTGATCGTGCTCCACTGCGACACGGTTCTCCAGTCCGATCTGGACGACCCAGTCTAGAAGTGCCTCGCTGGACTAACAGAGCATCCTTGGACTTTGATAGCTCTGCACCGACTTCACCGGATTTGAGGGCAACAAAGAATGGCGGGCATCACATACCCGCTATTGGGATGGATCTATCACCGCCAGGTAGCCGGCCCGTGTCGCCTGTTCGCAAACCATTCTCCAAAGTCAAGAACATTTTCCGCGATCGCAGCCGGGACCGAGCTGCAGGAGCGACGTCTGGGCGAGACGAGCATCCCGACAGCCCCGTTGATGAAAGCGGAATGCTCTTGTCATCTCCGGTGTCTGCGGATGATCTCAACTCTACAGTTCGATTGCGCTCGAAGAGCCCAGCGCCGCGTATTCCACGAGTGGAGACTCATAAATCTCACAAGAGCATTGGCAGCCTTCGTCTAGGCAAAGACGAGCAAATGGGTCTTCGCAACATCCTCAAAGGGGGTGCCAAAATTGATGGTATTATCCGCGGTGGTGTATCCAAACTTTCCGACCTCGTATGGAAGAAAGACCAAGAGAGTGATAGCAGCTCGTCTAGCACGTCGAGCGACGAATCCGAGGCTGAACCTGCCAGAGGTCGCCTAAGAACGCCGGCTGCCCTGTCAGACAGCTCCTTACGGAAGACTGACGAAGCCCATCAAGGCAGAAACTATCTCGATGCGATGCCGGTCTTCAAGCCTACTTCTGAAACGGATAGAACGACAATTGCAGACAGCAATAGCAAGCTCGTTCCTTTAAATAATCCTTCACAAGTAGCTGGTCGTCGCTCAAGTCGATTTGATCAACTCAAACCTCCACGCATCGATGTGTCAAATGCATCGCCCACCTCATCAACGGGCCCGCTTCCAGATTTCTCTGACAAGAATGCCACAATTTCCGACTCGGACTCACGTTGGCGTGATTCTGGTGTCTTGGTTGACGAATCACATATGTCTGGATTAGACGCCCTGCTGTCTCTTCCAGCACCATTGAATCGTCCTCAACGCAGCTCATCTTCACAAACGCGGCATTGGTCGATCTCAGATCGATCGCCGTCTCCTCAGCCCTCGACGCAGCTTTCCAAGCGTGAGGTCGCCCGCCTGCGTGCCCTTGCTCTTTCTTCGGGCATCAAGGCAATGGAAATCGCCCGGCGCGCGGCTGAACCCCAACCCATCATATCGCCGTCCGGCTCCAAGACAATCCTTCCTGTCCCATGGGACGAACTCAGACCCCTGGTTGCTGACAAAAAGATGCCAGCTACTGTCTCGCAACTTGAAGTCTACACCACGACTGCCCAAGTGCTTGCCTCTAGTATACGATACACGGATACCGCACTCGAGAAGTCGGCTGCTGCCTTTGCCAATGGTGAAATGCGGCAAGTACATGGTCGTGTGGACACGATGCATACTCGCGTCGCCACCGACCTGATTGATATGACAAGACGCGCCGCGGATGAAGCGGACGAATGTTCGCGAGATATGGTAGACAGCCAGAGACTCAAGGTGAAGAGGGTTGTAGATATCATCGACAAGATGCTCAGACGTAGGCGGCGCCGGTTCCGATGGGTCAGGCGAGGCGGCTGGCTGATGGTTGAATGGGTGCTTGTGGGCTTCATGTGGTATGTATGGTTCGTGGTCATGATCCTACGAATCTTCCTCGGCATTGGCAGAGGAGTCTGGGCTGGTGCTAAGTGGTTACTTTGGTTGTAACATTACAGAAGGCAGGCAACCTTGATGGAGATGCGCACAATATTTTGCGAGTCTCTGGATACCCCATGCTGCGGTTGTTGTCACCACTCCCTTTTCTTTTTTTCTGGGCACTATTAATTTTGCCCCCTCCTACCCATCTTGGGCAGTTTTCCTTTGTTCCTTTCTATTCTTCTTTATTTGATATTACACAGGCATCACCTGGCGCACATACAGTTTGATTGGAAAGAATGGATGCGCGCGCGTTTGCAAGAAACTTTCTATTGGAAGCGAGGCATCGGCAACACGAGGATATTGCATAGCAGGGAGCCAAGGTGTTTTATTTCTTCTTTTTTCATAATGTTTTATTCTACGGCCACTTGGCTTTTAGTGCTGGGTTTTCCTTTCACATTCAGACGGTGGTATATATCCTTTCTGATGATAGTATGGTTCTTTCCCATAATGAGTGTTATCAATACACTTTTCATCTTCTTGACTTTGACTTGTACACACCAGTAGAGACAGACTGCATCTTATGGATTATGAAATTTTAATGAATTATCCTATGACTTGAGGTCATTTCGTATTAAGGAAGAAGAAACTATGGCAATATCTTATTTCAGTATGTCTAATCTACAATGTTCCCCTGTTGATCCTACAACCATACGCCCCGCTGGGTGGGACAAGAGCCCATAAAGGGGGGCCCTTTCAAAGTCCGACAGGTGGATGAACTCCATTTCAACACAAAGCGAATTGTTCTTTTTTTTTATTCGATTCTCTTCTTGCCCTCCTCGGCGCTGAGATACCTAGCCGTGCTCAGTCCGCGCTCATGCTTGGCGACGAAGGGTCCCAGTAGCTTGTCCTTTCGAACCTTGGAGATTGTCTCTTGGTAGCCTTCGACTGCCCATGGTCTCGGGTTCAACTTGGGCCAGTTCACCTGAACATGATGTTAATATATTGCCTGAGGATAACTTTTCAATACAAGCCACTTACATAGAGCATTCCGTTCTTCAGAATAAATTGTGTACACCACGCGGCCACCACCAACCAGGCAAGAACGAACAGTCGCAGTGGCAGTACAGCGGCGTCTGGGGCACGGCGCGTGAACATCGACACGAGGATAACAAAGACGCTGAAGGCAAGAATGTAGGGAATACTCTGGATGAGAATGGGCCTTCGATCGGCAAAGACAAGCGCCGAACCAATATTGGCCGAGCTTGCGTCGTAGGCTCCGAGGAAGACGTCGTAGGCATCCTGCCGAGGCCCATCTCTGAAGTTGTTTAGGTAGAATCGCGTGATGGCGATCTTGAGATCTTGAAGTTTGCCGGCATTTGTCCGCGTGCCCATACGGGTAATGTCTGTCTTCATGGCGCCCGTGCCCGCATAGGCGCGAGAAACGGTGTCGGCATTGTCGGCCCAGATATTGCGGAAAAGGAAGTAGAAGTCCCGGTCCACGGCTGCGAAGGTCTCGCCCTTTTCCAAAATGCCGAGATCGACGAACATGCGATCCAGGGTCCAACGAGCAAGCATGCTCTGTACAACATTGGTACGGTCCAGAGAATCCATGCAATTAGTCCGAACCACACTCGTCTGGAAGTTGCGTGTCTCGAGGCCGCCATTGGCGGGCATATCCACGCCACGGAAGTATTGCTGAGCAATAAGAGCATCTTGAAGTCTCTCTACCAGGAGCATGGCACGCTGCATCTGCATACCCTTAGTCTCGTGGTGGTAATCAAAGTAGACATAGTGCAGGCGGTCCAAGCTCTGCCTTGACGCGGTTGGCTCAATGACATGGAACTTCTCATCCGTTCGAGTATTACTCTCAACGCCACTAGTGGGATTGGAGACGAGCTTCTCTACCACCTGCTCATAGGTGTCCTTGATTCGTTTCTCCCGACCGCCCTGGTTGACGAGGTTCACCAAGTAGTTGTCGCCGTAGATACGAATCTGCTCCTCAAAGTGCTTGCGGGCCGCCGGTAGTGCAGACTCGATACCGCGGACCTGGATCTTGGGTGTGTACTTGAGGGTGTTGACTTCGGCCCACAAAGCTGGCACACTACCTCTTGTTTGCACGTATGAAAGGATCTGCATTTCCTTGCCATCTGACGCCCCAAATTTGCCGCTCTGCATGTCATTGCTTCCTGCAAAGCCGCCAAGGCCACTGCCAGTGTCGTTCAGGACAAGAATTTGTTCCGTTTCATTGTAGTTTGCAGCGTGTCCATCTTCATCAAGACCTCTGGTAAGGTATCGGGTTCCGGCTCGGTAGCGCGCTTTGCGGGTGATGAGACCCAGGGTAAAAGGTGTGCCCTTGAGAGACGTTGGGCGAATCTCCAAGGTACCCCAGATCACAGGGAGGATGAAAGGGTCTGCCGCGACCTGCGGGCCTGGCTGTGACCGGCTGCCTCTCTTGCGAAAGTCGATCAGATCAGTAGAGACGAATCTGTTCCAGAAGAAACGGTCATCGGCGCGCTGCCACAGCGGGGTCGAGCTGTCCATGGAAGCTTGTCGTTGGAAGCTGTTGGTGAGATCAAGAGAATAGGAGAAGTACATAGGACCTGGCAAGACATGGGTCTTGAGCAGCGAAAGGAAAGTATCCTCGTCCGGATCTCTGATCTGACGCTCGCGCATAGGCAGGAGCTCTGTGGCAACTACCTTGTACACCATATGGCCCTTTAGGCGGCCCATGGGCTGGGCTTTGGTAACGATAATGGCATACTTGTCCAGCCTGAGCTTGATGATGCCCAGAATACCGGCGATGCTAGAAACGCGCGAGACACGCTTGTTCGGGTAGGGAGTACCCTCGCTCAGTCGCAGGTCGCCGGTGGGACGGTCGATGACGAGGGCCGGCGCATTCGGAGAAGAAGGAGAGGTGAAGGTGTAGGAATCAGTCGCCACCTGGACGTTGATATCTCGGAAAGGGAGACTCATGTTGGGCAGTACGTAAAAGTAGCCTTGAGAAATCGTCAACCACGAGTCGTTGGAAACTATCGCATAACAGGGGTCAAGGTGTCGAACAGCAGGGCGTTTCTATAGTCTATAGTCGGCCGTAAAGAGTAGGTAGGGAGTCGCAGTCGAAAGATGGATACCGCGGAAAGGAGAGCACAAAATAGAGGAATGGCAGGGAGTTGAAGAAGAAAATGAAGAGCTAAAATGAGCGCACAGAGGTGCCGTGTGGTGGACGAGAGAATCAACGTCTTCAGGCGCTGAAATGTGCTCTGTCGACCTTGCAGTATTTCCTCCTGCGAAATGTCGTCGCTGGGGAGTTGTTGCTCCTGTTGACACGAATTGGATTCAACCTACAAGGAACTCGGTAGCGGTACGTACTGGTGGCAGACTGGAACCCACAATCCCTGCAAGGATCAAGCAGCGCTAAGATATGGATGGTACCTAGCTACGTAGTTTCCATCTTTATCGGCTGTGCATAAATTGATCTATCCGTAACACTGAAAATGGCAGCGAGCTTCTACAGCTAGAGGAAATTCGACGCTGTAGCCAACAGTAACTACAGTGCACTAGAAGCAAGGCTGGTGCCCAGGTGTACAAAGTATTAAACCATTGCTATATCCCAAGCATACATGAATTGAAACCATTCAATGTTATCTGCCTACTCATGATTTAAGGTTCAAACGTGGAATTTCAAAATACAAAATAAAAAGAACCTCAGATTATCCATTAGGAGAAAATATATATGTTTACTGCTATTTCAACTTACATGTCGCATAATAATAGCTGTTTTATTAGTTTGTAAATAAAAATATTATAACAAGTATCCGCTCTCATTCGAAAAAGTAGACACCACCCTCTGTTAACGAGATGATAATTCCAAATTGTGTATGTATTCGCCATTAGAAAAATACCCGCCGCCTATCACGTGTCTTGGTAACCTCAGCAGTACTCTCGAGGACTGACTGCCATTATGAATGCAGCTATCGGGAACGCAACGCAGCCAAGCCAACCAATCTGTGCTGCCCCAACCCATCAAAGACCGGGACCCGTGCCAATCTGCTTGTGGTTTAGCACCTGAGAAAGCTCGTTGGCAAGGCCTGACGTGCTGCTTGTCGCATGTGGTCACCAGCAAAGCAAAAAAAAGAAAGCAAGCTGCCTGCCAGCGGCGCCGACCTGACCTCACCTTTACCTAGGTACTTACCTAATACCACCCTACCTACCCAACCAAGTCCCTAGGTAGCCTACAATTACCTACTGACCTCCAGACCCCCAGTCAACAAGTTGCAAGGCAGTCACAATACCTTCCTGCACTGCCGACAACTCAAACATCATCACCGCCAACACCTCATCCACCACCATCGCCACGCCAAAAGTTCAACAATCTTTTGGGTTTCCCTCAGCCGCACGCGTTTTGCGATACCGACGAAAATCCATCTCGTCATCCCCCAACGCCCGACGAAGCGGTCGCGCAGCACCCGTGCATAGGCGCCATCCTACCCAACCGTCAACGCCCGCTTGCTTCTTCCTAGGCTCTCGGTCGATCCGCATCCAGAACCCGACTCGTTCAGTTACTTTTCGATATTCCGATACATAGTCATGGCTTCCAGAGGAGCTCCAGCTGGCGCCCGAGGCCTCAACTCCCGCTTCGCGCAATTCAAGCTTGTGTTGCTAGGTATGATATCCCCGTCGTCATGTTGGTTCCAACCTTCGCACTTGAACAAGATCTAACGTGCGCCTTGATAGGAGAATCTGCCGTTGGAAAGGTACAGAGCTTATCTCCAACATCAACTTGAGTCATTCAACATAAAAAAAGCTGACCTCTAATTCAGAGCTCTATCGTCTTGCGCTTCGTCAAGGACCAATTCGATTCGTACCGGGAATCCACTATCGGTGCTGCCTTCCTGACCCAAACTATCTCTCTCGACGAAAACACCACAGTCAAATTTGAAATCTGGGATACTGCCGGCCAAGAGCGCTACAAATCCCTTGCTCCCATGTACTACCGTAATGCCAACTGCGCGGTTGTTGTATATGACATCACCCAATCCGTACGCTTTGGTCTCCTAGAAGTCCGTTCGACTCTCTTTGCTGACGAATTTTGCAGGCTTCCCTAGATAAAGCCAAGGCCTGGGTAAAAGAGCTTCAGCGACAAGCTAACGAGAACATTATTATTGCCCTCGCAGGAAACAAGTTGGATTTGGTCACGGAGCAACCGGACAAGAGAGCTGTGCCTGTGGCCGAGGCCGAAGCCTATGCCAATGAGGCAGGTTTGTTGTTCTTTGAGACCTCAGCCAAGACGGCCGAAAACGTCAGGGATCTGTTTACAGCCATCGCAAAGAAGCTGCCGCTGGACCAGGCTGGTCCCCGACACACTAGGCCAGGCCAGCGAGCTGGCGGTGTGAGTCTGCAGGCAGAAGGCGCGAATACCCAATCCGGAGGAGCATGTGCCTGTTAAATCCCTACACGAACGAAGGTTCTTCGACCCTTTGCAATACGCGTCTGGGCGTTGCGGTCATGTGCTGGGTTGGCCGGATAGAGACTCTGGAGGTGGAGAGTTCACAACGCCAGTGTGAGCAATATAACTCATGATTACCATGCTTGGGAGCTGGCGCGGTATTGTTACGGAAAGATTAGAGATACGCCACACCCCGACCTGCTCGACTTGACGAGGAAGGAAGCCATATATTCCTTTGGACCTTGGAGTTTGTAAGCAGGCTCACATATGATTTTTTAATAACCCTGTGTTCATTTGGATTTTTGGAGGCATTGTAATTTGTGGGCGCAATTTCATTGATATCGATGACTGTAGAAGAAGACTCCTTTACTTTCTCCCGCGACTTGCGCCTGTGTTCACCGCGTATCATTACTTTCTTTACTTTGGCATGACCGTGACATTTTTCGAGAGAGCTTCGACGTGAAATATGCCTGCAGACCTGAACATTGGACTCGAAAGTAATGCCGAGGACAATATATATGTATATATATATATATATATATATATCTGTGATACTATGCAGTATATTTATCAGAGTGTGACAAAGTCATTACGATGAAGTAGGAAATTTTTTTTTTGGGCGTAAACAGAGTACCTAATGATAGTGACCACGGCGATGGTCAGTGGTGGATGAGTATGCAGTTATGTGCAGTTTCGCTACCTATGTAGGTAGGTAATGTTAGGTAACAAGTGCAGTAGGTGTTGTAGTAGTAGTTGAGTAGTACCTGGGCGCGCCGGCCCGGGATGTTCCACCTCAGCCAAAAAGCTGCAAGCTACTAAATAACCTAGGCCAAGGCACGTCACTTTTTACCTCATAACTCGTTCCAAACAACCAACAACGACGCCAGAAACCGACCTCTGCCAAAGGAAGGTCGCTTAATGCGCTCATGTTGCGGACATCGTTGCGATCCGTGAGGGCCGTCGGTAGCAAGCCCATTGCTGCTGCCGCCGGCCGTCAATGGCATCCCGCGGTCGCGAGATCTGCGAGGGTAGCTGGACTGGTGAGAAGAAGCCAACCCCCAATTGAGCCGCTGCCATCAAGCAACAGACACCTAACTGGTTTCCCTTGAAGAGATTTTATGCAGATGAAAAGAAGCCGTCTATCGAAGACTCGCAACCGGTCAAGTTGCCCAGCGTCGAGACCAACACTGCAGCCACCAGCGCGCCTGCATTGAAGGTTGAAGCCCCCGTTGTCAAGCCCGAGGACATTCCTTTGACACCGCCCGCTCCGGAGGACGTCGCCGCTACTCCTGTCAAGAAGAAGGGATTCTTCCGCAGGCTTCGCAATTACATCATTACTCTTGTGCTTCTAGGTGGTCTTGCATTCGGCGGTGGTGTCTGGTACTCTCGCATCAATGACAACTTCCACGACTTCTTCGCCGAGTACATTCCCTTTGGTGAACAGGCAGTGCTCTTCTTTGAGGAGAAGGATCTCCGTAGACGCTTCCCTCGTCCCGTAGGTTCCGGCAGTCTCCACGCCAAGGATGCCGGGGAGCAGGTCAAGATCGGCCCCAAGAGCGGCGCATCATGGAGGGTAGCAGACAGCGGCGAGCAGGCCCCGAGAATGTCGAGCGCCATGCGTGAAGTTGCGGCCAAGCACGAGAGTGCAGCCAAGACCGACATTCCTGCCAAGGCAGAGAAGGCAGTCAAGGCGGCAGCAAAGCCAGTTGCAGCAACATCTGCTGTCGAGGCCAATAACAAGGCACCCGAGGAAAAGACCAGCAAACCGAGCAACCCTGCACCGGCTTTCAAGGCTCCCGACGTTGATGAGCCTTCTCGTTTCCCCCCTGCGTCACCAATTGACCCCCTCTCGGTTAAGGACGCCGAAGACCCCGTCGTGCAGAACCTTGTCAAGATGCTCAACGATATCATTACGGTTGTCAATGCCGACAATGCCGACGATCGCTTCTCTGCCACTATTGGCAAGGCTAAGAACGAGCTCAACAAGGTCGGATCTCAAATTCGTGACATCAAGGCTCAAATTGAGAAGGATGCCGCTTCCAAGGTGTCCACCAAGGTCAACGAGTTTGAGGCGGCTGCAAATGAGCTTGTGGGTCGCGTCGAGAGAGCCATGGCTGCTCAGGAGAGCCAGTGGCGCGAGGAGTTTGCAAGCGAGTTGAAGCGCATTCACGAGGTTTATGACAAGCGTGCCAAGACTGAGCTGGAGCGTGAGAAGCTGGTCAATGAGCAGAAGCTTGAGAACCAACTCTTGGAACAGGCCGTCGAACTCAAGCGTCAGTTCAATAAGCAAATCAAGGAAAGTGTCGAGGCTGAGCGAAATGGACGTCTCGGCAAGCTTGACCAGCTGAGCTCTGCCGTTCGGGAGCTGGAGCAACTCACGACTGGCTGGAACGATGTGGTTGACACCAACCTGCGTACGCAGCAGCTTCACGTAGCCGTCGAGGCGGTCCGTGCTAGTCTCAATGACAGCGAGCACCCGCGTCCATTCGTCCGTGAACTCGTCGCTCTCAGAGAAATTGCCTCTGACGACGAGGTCGTCAATGCCGCCATTGCTTCCATCAACCCATCCGCTTACCAGCGTGGTGTCAGCCCACCATCGCAGCTCATTGACCGTTTCCGCCGTGTCGCTTCCGAGGTTCGCAAGGCCAGCCTGCTTCCCGATGATGCTGGCGTTGCTAGCCACGCCAGCAGCTGGGTGTTGAGCAAGGTGATGTTCAAGAAGGAGGCTCTTCCCACTGGTGACGATGTCGAGAGCATCCTCACTCGGACACACACGTACCTTGAGGAGGGAGACCTAGACAGAGCAACCCGTGAGTTGAACGGACTGACTGGTTGGGCAAAGACTCTAAGTCGAGACTGGCTGGCCGAGGCCAGAAAGGTACTCGAGGTTCAGCAGGCACTCGACGTAAGCACAATACTTTTCAAACAATACCATCAAGAAATCCACATGCTAACCGAAACTCGCAGGTTATTTCAACCGAGGCAAGACTGCAGAGCTTGAAGGTGGAGCAGTAAGTGCCTGCATAGCGTCTCAATATAAAAGGCTCATGAGGCCTGTTTTTTTTATGTCAAGTGTACATCGTATAAGCCAGCTTGTGTCTCTAGAGAGAAAAAAGATCAAACGGCCGGAAATTCATTGGCTGGCTGATCTATGTATTATGAAACAGATTCAATAGATGGTCATTACAAAGTCTCATTCAAATCCCCGAGCATGTCGCGTGATCCCTTTTCACACCATGCGGCGGCATATGCTGTTCAAGACGGTGCTACTGGCCACATGTGTCACATTCTACTTGGTGCTCTCTCTATAGTCTCGCGACCATTGGTCTTGATCAAGTGGCATCACACTGCCACTCTGTATAGCGCACTATCGGAAATATGCATTTCACTTGTCATTGGCTCCTCATAGCTGAGATGTTGAAACTAATTTGTGTCAAGGGTATCAATTAATTATAGCCTATTTCCCCAACAAGTCACGAAAAATATCCATTTCAAAAGTCGTCATCGTCATGATCCCCATAGCCATAGAGTACTTCATTGACTCCGGCTAGAGGAACATCCATAACACCGTCAGTACCCTTATTCCACACAGCTCGCCAATCGATCTCGAGGGCCCTGCTTTCGCTGACCTTGGTAGCGGCGGCTGCGGCGGCCTCGTCGTGGCGCTTGCTGGGCCGCAGACGTCCCCGGGAGTCGACACAGGCAACCTTGGCGGCCTCGTCGACGACGGTCTCGAGGCTGCCCAAGGGCAGAGTTAGGTACTCGGTATTATAGGCGGCGAGGGCGACGTAAATGTAGACAATGAGCATGACGAGGAAGGCTGGCACGGCCAGGGCCCACCAGCGGTTCGGGTAGTAAAAGATGCCCAGGGCGTGCAAGAAGGGCGAGGGCAGGTAGGCCCACAGCAGGTAGATGAGAAAGGCCAGCGAGGAGAAGAGGTAGAGCACGAAGCCGTAGTACTCGTAGGTGGGCACCTTGGGGGAGGCGCGCGGCACGGGCTCGAGGGCCCCTTCGTCGTCCGAGGCGTCGGGCGTCGTGGGCCGCGAGGGCCGCAGCAGCGAGGTCAGCGAGGGCGAGGGCGGCAGCGGTGTTGGCGGGCGGCCGTAAAAGGGCGGCGCAAAGAAGTTCTGCGAGATGGGCGGCGGCGGGTTCGGGGGCCCTTCGTCTAAGTCGTCCTCATCCGACGAGTGCGCCGAGGACAAGTCGTCTTCTGACAACAGGACGTCTGGTTCCTCGTCAAAGTAGTCGTGCATTCTGACTGCTGTTGTACAGACTCTCGGTGACTATATGTTGTGTGTCGCAACTCCTAGAATATTGGCGTGAAACGGCATGGGGCGTTCAAGGCTTATAACTCAGAAGTCCAATTGGTTGTTTGGTGTTGACAGATCCGTGTGAGCTGTAAATCTAGGTAGATTGTTTTGGAGATATATCGTACGTCTCCTGCGATTGCTCAATCATTGGGCCGAGGACGGTTCAAAAGAGAGTATCGACTTCCATGGTTCGATTTGGTGGGAATTGTTTCAACGCCGATGTACATCATGATCCAATGTCACAAGTCGCGACAATGTGCGATAAACGATAGTACAGAGTACCAAAGGGACTGGATCAATGCTTTTAATGGACGCACGGGCCATTAAAGTCCCCTGTCTGCCTGCAGGTACATTGTCTTCCAAGGTAAATCCGCGGGTTACTGAGGTACACTGAGGTCTTGTCCAAAAGGTAGCTTCAAGTTGAACTGCCCACCTACATTTACCTACCCGCCGCCCGCCAGCCAACCACCAGCCACGCGACTCCCGCAGCGTGTGACGACCGCCCATAGCTCCATTGAAGCAACCTCCAACTCCAGCCAGGAACGCGCCCGCCTACCTAAAATTTAATCAGTTTGCGCCAACGTTGAATTGAACGCGACGCATCCTCGAAACACAACGACACGTCGCGATTATCCCATCATTCTGGTCAATTGCCCATTAGACACACGCCCAACATGGCACAACCCTTGACGTCGGCGAATGCTCCGACTGACATCTACGGTGGAGGTAAGTCAAATGCCCGTCCTGTCTCTTTCGAGCATCAGCCTCGTCCCCTTCTTTGGCCCGTCAAATTATGGACAACCTGCTGACAGTCGCCAACAGATGAGGTCTCTGCCATGGTCCTCGATGCAGGCTACGTGCAAACACGCGCTGGTTTTGCAGGCGAGGACGTTCCCAAATCCGTGCTGCCATCGTTTTACGGTTCCGCCAATGGCAAAGATGTCTTTGGCGACGAATGCCTTATTCCCCGCGCCGACTTTGAGATCAAGAACTACATGTCCCGCACCGAGTCCGTAGTCGAGGACTGGGATGCTGCCACCAAGATCTGGGAGCATATGCTCATCAAGCGCCTCCAGCCCGAGCGCGAGACCCCTCCAGAGAAGAACGGACTGAACGACCCTGCCCCCGATGGCGAGGGCGATGTGTCCATGGAAGACGCCACCGCGGCTGCTACCGCTACCGAGGACCAGGAGAAGCCGCTCGCCGAGACCCCGTTACTCATGACCGAGGCCCCTTGGAACTCGAGCAAGGCTCGTGAGAAGTCCATTGAGATTGCGATGGAGAGCTGGGGCGTGCCAGCCTTCTGGCTGACCAAGACACCCGTTGCTGCCGCCTTTGCTGCCGGCAAGGCTAGCGCTTTGGTCATTGATGTGGGAGGTGCAAACACAAGCGTCACGGCGGTTCATGACGGAATGATTCTCAAGCGCTCGATCCAGAAGTCTCCCGTGGGTGGTATCTGGCTCTCGTCGCAGATTCGCAGCATGTGGGATAGCAATGAGCCCAAGGTGGAAGTAGTGCCCACATTCATGGTCCAGAATAAAACTCCCGTGGATGCTGGTCAACCCGCCCAGGCCAAGCTGCGCAAGTTCCCCTTTGAGATTTCGCCAAGCTTCCGGGCTTACGAGGAAGAACGCCTCCTCACCGAGTTCAAGGAGTCGGTCGTGGAAGTCTGGAGGGGCCCTGGAAAGTACAACAACCCTGGTAACGAGGAGCTTGTCAAGAGCCAACCGGGTCGCATCTTTGAGATGCCAGACGGCGCAAACCAGATGTGGCGCGAGCAGCGATACCGTGCGTCTGAGGGTCTTTGGGATGATGCGGCACAGCTGCCCGTCTCCGGATCGGACCCCATCACCAAGGCCCAAACCATCCCCGAGCTCATCCGCGCTTGTCTCAATAATGTCGACGTGGACCTGCGGCCGAATCTATTGGGTAACATTGTCGTTACCGGAGGATCCAGCCTGCTGTCTGGATTCAATGACCGACTCAATAATGAGCTGACGGCCATGTACCCTGGAATGCGAATCAAGCTGCACGCAGCAGGTCTTACTACGGAACGCAGATTCGGTTCTTGGATAGGTGGTAGTATCCTGGCTAGCTTGGGCACATTCCACCAAATGTGGATTTCCAAGAAGGAGTATGATGAAAATGGTGCAGGAATTGTCGAGAAGCGTTGCAAGTAGGATCGTCGTACTCGACTTAGATGAAGCCTGGGATAACCACAAAAATATCCCCTTGTATTTCATTCATCGAGATGGGAGATGAAGGAGACAAAAAAAGCGGCACTGGCGTATGGAGTTAGGTAGGCTCAGTAGACCTGATTAGGGCGCTCGTGAATTTGCGAGCTCATTAGAGTCTGATTACTCACACCTGGAGATTCTGTATAGATGTAGCTTCAGTTGGGGATGCTTCCAAACATGATTCTTTAAACTTTGTGATTCAACGAGACAGATGGGTCTAATCTCCATCTCTTTATGAGTGAAATCCGTGAAATCAGAATTTACATGTTGTGCTTTCTATGATACATATCAAATTGCAAGAGAAGAGAATGTTTCCAACCACCTCCTAAACCTTGACTTATCATACACGACCATTCCTTCAATTGGAACCAGCGTCCCGAACTTCTTTCCATAAAAGGGGAAACTCGGGGCTAGGTCTCTTTTTCCTTTCCTTTCTCTTAACGCGCACCCAATGTACCCAGGCCCAGACGACCACGGCTCCCAACGGCCAAGGCGGCCCAGCCGGCGATAAAGCACAGTCCGCCCAGGGGGGTGACGGGACCCATGGAGCGATACTTTTGGGGGTCCAGGGTCAAGAGGTACAGGCTGCCCGAGAACATGGTCATGCCGGCAATGAAGAGGCCGCCTGCCCAGCGCGTGGCGCGCGTCTGCGGTGCCAGGGAGGCCACTACCAGGGTTGCTACTGAGTGGACGAGTTGGTACTTGATGAAGAGAAAAGGAAGGGTTAGCCTTGGTGGTCTTTGCAAAAGGGAGATGAGGCGAACTTTGTGTGTGTGTTTATAGATGTGTATAATGAGATTATACAAGTCAAGGTGAAATTGCAAGGGTCATGATATTTTACATGATCAATGTATAACGTGAGAATCAAAGTTCAAAGTAGTAGCAACAACAAGTCAGAATGAGAGGTGAAAATTGATTTACCTGAGCAGCCGTGTTCCAGTTCTGGAGACGTGCGGGATCCGCGATCCGCTTCTTGAGGCCGTGGGCGCCGAAAGCGCCGAGGGCAACAGCCGTGCCGCCGTAGACGGCCGCCAGAGTCGTCAGAATGGCCATGATTCGGATTTGTGTCGGGGCTTCGTCGCTTGAACGATCAAGTTGATGTTGTTGACCTTGAGAGGGTGAGGTGTTGGCCAAGAGAGGTGATGATTCGTCTGCTGTTCGTGGGTGTTCAATATCTCTTGAGCTCATTTAGACTTGATTGAAATTTCAAGTTGATGGAGTAAGTCGTTGATGGACGGGGTTTGAGAACAAGACAATATCGGATTTGGAGGTTGACTTGCGGTCCGTCCCGCCCTTGCCGAATGGATTCGCTGAGCTCTCGCGTCCGGCCTTCAAAGCCGAAGGTTCCACTCTTTTGCTACCGGGAATTTCGCTGCCAGCAAGATATTATACCTCTGGGTGGTTTGAACAAAGCTGTTGGTAACGTTTATTTAAAAAAAAAAAAAAAAAATAGTACGA